AGGGAAGGGAAGGGAAGGGAAGGGAAGGGAAGGGAAGGGAAGGGAAGGGAAGGCAGCTGCCACATACGACTTCCACAATCTGACTGCAAACACCTTGGGGTACCGAAGACTCCTGTGCATCTGCATGGGAAGGAGGGGTGAGAATCCCTTACTTCTGCCCCAGCAAGGATTTGGGTGGTATAGTATAACAAACTAGACACAGCCACACAGCTTCACCCTCTGCCACTCACATCCTTGACTGAAACTAGGACAGAGCAAAATAACCTTTTTCTGACCAGAAAACAGAAGGCTTAGGTCTTTAACTGCAGGCAAGGATCCCTAGGGATAACAGTGGGGTGAAAAGGAAGCCACCGGTTTTTGAAACCTGGATGTAGCAAGGCTGTGTCCGGGTCTCAGCTGTGCTGAAGCACTATTCCTGGGCAATACATTTCCTTCTCCACACTTCACTTGTTAAAAAGCTATAAAAACTTCTACACATCTGTCTTCCCCATGCAGAATATTGGACTTTCACCACTGCATAGCATTATTAATATGTCAAGACCCATACGAATAAATGACAGGCAGCACTACTCAGGGACTTTTCTTGCAAGCCAGGTGAGTACAGTATGGTCTTGAGGCTTTTCCCTGTGTTGTTTTGTGAGATGCTGTGCTTTTCTAGAATAGGAAAATTTGATTGGTCCTTTTAACACTCTTTGCTTTCTGAGAATCACAGCTTAGTTTGGTCTGTTCATGCTCTAAGTTTAAGCCTGCAGCCAGGTCCTGACTGTCTCCTGTACTGAAAAAGTGCCATGCATCACAAATATGCTATTTACAATATAGCTTATTTTACTTGTATATATGCCATAACTAAGAGCTAGTAACAGCTGATAATTACATATAGATTTCACATGAGTGAAAAACAAATGCGCTGCAGGCACCAGATTTGAGTGCTGAGTGCTCACCTCCATCAATTGTACAAAAAGCAGGCACAGCTATAGAAAAGTCAGTACCCTTGTGCCAGTGCCTTCCAGTGTCACCAGAGAGGGAGTTATTAGCCTTTCAAGGTCATCACAGTCTATGACTAGCTGAAAGGCCAAGCAGAAACATCATAGAAGTCATGTAGAGTTTCCTTACCCACCTCTTGGCAGCATTCAGGAATGAGACAGTTCACCTTCGGCAGGATTCTCCCCGCTTCTGACGCAGTAATCTTTCTGGATCTGCTTATTTTAAGTCTAGGCAGATGCTGAGGAGGAATCTGTGATGAATTCACACTCTTCATCTAGCTGAATATTCTGGGTATGTTTCCTTTGATGTTCATACAGAGGCTGAGACTCATGGCTGGAAAAATATCGCTACATTTTCTGTGTATATAGTGCATCTGTCAAAAGGTGTGAAGATCCTCTATCCAGTCAAGACACTTCTTGTGTTTGTTATTCACCCGGCACAGCATTTAGGAAGATCATCACAGGTTTCCCTTCTACTGTAATAAATGTTATTGACTAGCAGGCATTGAAATGCTGGTAGAGTACATTGGCTAGAGTAGAAGAGCAACACAGACCTATCTGCATCTATGAGAACTGCATAAAAAAACACTCCAAGTCATTCCAGTCATTCTGAAAAACAAAACAATTGCACAATGTGTAACACCATTCAAAATCACAGCCTTAAAGCTCTGTGCCATAAAGATGACAGCAGTGAATATCATGCATAAATTTAACAAGTTGGAAAGAATAATCAACCTGTGCTTACATAACAGTTGCATGAAAACTTCCTAAAAAAATTCGCCATCATGGCTACAGCCCTCCTTTGTCTAGAAAGGTAGCCATGTCCCAGCAGCCCAATCAGTGAGGGGGGAAATGACCCTCATTCCCACCAAGGTAGCTGGTGAAATAACTGAGCTGCATAACACCAACTGGCAGCCTGTAGAAAGCTGGCTGAATCTGATCACAAGGTCTGCTGCTCCAAAACAAGGTCTTAGGGGCTTGTCTTTCAGAGTCCTGGGGTGCAGAGAAGAAAACAGTTATAGACAGAGCTGGCTTAATAGGTTAGAACTCCAAGCAGTTGTTCAAGACCCCAAGACATCAGGGCCCTGCTTGGTTCAATTTGTCCGAGGGGCATCCAGCAAAGGGCCTGAGCCCTTTGCCCAGGCTCCCTACAGCTCTGACACCACCTGTACAGCAAAGCTGCTGTGCTTCCAAACAAGCTCAGCAGCAGAAATGCCAGAAAAGATGAATCTAATCTTTGCTGACCATCCCAGACCCTGCACTGGACATGCTCATCACCACAAGCTCTCTCATATGGATGTTTTTACATCATGAATGTAGACATTGCACCATGGCATACCACCATCCAGATATCCTTACAACACCAGAGCTGTACAAGCCAAAGTTCTGGGTGAAATCCAGAGCTCTCCAGATGGCCAGTGCCATCTTCTTGTGTCCTTCACTTGAATCTTTTCACAAGTATTTAGAAGAACATGGGATGAGATGGGGCTATCTGGATTGTCAACATCACTGCAGCTGAGTGCAGCACACTGCCCAGTTTAGTCAGAAACACCTAGGATGATTTCCTTCTTATAACCCCTCAGAACATTCCCCATTCCCCAACTCACACCTGCGCAAAGTCCAAGAAGAGTAAGGCTGGAAATGATGCCTACCTCTTGCAACTGACACGACCAGAAGACCCTGATGCCCCACATGGTCATGCAGAGCTCTGGACAGAGAAGATTGTGCAGCGCCCAGCGTACAACACTGCACTGGACAGTGCTGGGGTGGAGAAGAGGGGCTCACACCTGCCACCACAGTACTCCTAACTATTCCAGAATTAATTTGCATTTGTTCCTTTCTGGCTTGCTGAGACAATTTCTCAATGCAAGCAACATGCTGTACTTTCATCTGTGCTTTTTAAAGGTGTCTGATTGGTTGCATTGGAAAAGAAAAGAAAAGATTATAGTGTCTTTTGATATTTTATGTTTCCTCCTTTATAATGGAGAATCTGCTGTTGGGGATCCTTTCTGAGTTCTGAATTCCTCCCTCTGCATTTCCCACTTGGCATGGACCCGTGTTCTCTTTTTTTCCCCAAAGCCAAGCACCATTGAAGTCTCACAGAGTACACCAACAAGACCTGACTGCAGTCCTGGTGGTCCAGCTGCGCAGAGGAAGGCTTTCTCCACATGCAACTTTCTAAATGATACTTTGGAACTTTTTAAATGGTGTAAGAATCACAACAAAGTGATGCTGTACAGGATATGCTGACAGGCTTGCATGTCCCATTTATTATCTTGCTAAGAGCTTCCCCTTTTCAGGATGTTTGAGAGCCCCCACCCTCAGCGTGTGAGTACCTTCGGTTCCCTGCATCTCCAAGGTGTGCTCTGGATTGCAGTGGGTTGCTGCAGCTGCTGTGGTAAGTGCTCACATAAAACCTCTGCTGGACTGAGTGCAAGTCAAAGCAGCCCTTGAGTAGGCTTCACTCATTCAGCAGGCTCCTGGGGAATATTTCTCAATGTCTCATTTTACAGCCTGTCTTTTCCTGCACTCAGCCTGTATAGTCTGTAATTTTCCCTCATTCCCTCCAGCTCCATGTGGACCATGATCTGAGTGACCACTGATCCACACAGATCTCCTGGAAATATCCTTAAATCCTATATGCTTAGGGAGGAGGATGCCTAAAAGGAGCCACGTGTGCTCAGTGCCAGACTCCTGGGCTTTGAGAGAACATACAGGGAGAAGGAGTCCTCCACCAAAAAAGCCTATCCTTGTTCAGGAGCCTGCCCCACTGCATAGCCAGGGGTGAAGAAGGAGACATCAGGTGGACACTCCTGCCCCTGGCTCTGCACATCTCCACATTCCCTGCACACAGCCATGTGTGCCACCAGTGGCAGAGGATCCTCCAGCCTCTGTTATGCTTTGGAACTACATTTGTTAATTGTTTCTCAAGTTCAGTTTAGGCGAATGCCATTTTAGCATAATTTTATTTACACAGGGGACAGATTAAACCAGTAATAATAATGACACATATTAGGTGCAGCTGTTCTATTTTCTCCCCCCAAGCAGGCCTGCAGCACTGTTTCCTAATTTAAGTCCTGGTGCTACAAATCTGAGTAAATTTTACACATGGGAATATTTCCTCTAGACTTGGTGGAGGCTGCTCAGATGTAAAAGCTGGATTTTCTCACAATATTCTAAGGACTGAACCCATACTTTAAGTGGCCCAGTTTAACCTAATTTTTGCCCATATTAAAAAAATAAATCACCAAATAGGGCCAAGGAATCCTCTGTTACTTTTCTGACCAAGTTTTGCTTAATTATTTAATCATAGTCATGCCAGTATAAACAATGTGTTTCACTTTGGAAACAGTCTTGCAAAAGTCTGATGAAGATTGTCTGTATCTCATCTTAATGATGCATAAATCTTAAATACTTTATCTCTTAAAAAGCAAAAGGAATGAAATTTTGTTGGTGATGAGGTTTTTTTTCTGTTTGTTGGTTAATTGCTTTTTTCCCTCTAAACCAAGAACAGTAGATGATTTCCCAAGAAAATGAAACAAAAAAGAGATAAATTCACAGTCAACCTCCTTAATGTGTACCCAAAGATGGTGAATATACATACTGTGGAGTGACATACTTTTTACGTATTTTTAATTTGTATCCCTAACACAATTTTTAAAAAAGAACAGAAATTAAGAGAAATTGAGGACTAACATGGGAAACTGTAGAAAATCTTTTATATCCTTTTAATTAAATTTATTTCCATTTATAATTATTGTATAACTTACAGCATAAAATTATTTTAGAATAGCCTGAATTTCTGCACATCTAAATGTATTTTTCCATACAATAGGAATAATGTTTCTTTCAGAGAAGCCATCACATTGGACCTTATAAATTGTGAAGTGATCCTCACACAGCAGGTATAATATAAAACATTCTGCCGTGATTAATCTTTTCTTTAATAAGGACTGAAGACTAAAAGGTTTAAGTTTCTAATAGCTCAGGAAATTTTCAGGATGTTCCATAGACATTTCAGGACATGACCCTCAGTTGGATAACAGAGTTGTAGCTCATTGAGTCTCTTGTCTAGCTGTTGATAATGACTTCTATTATTTTTTCCCATTTGTAATTTTTTAAATTCAATTTTCCTGTCATTGCTTTGTGCTGTTTTTCAGTTTCTACCTTCCCTGACTATGATAGAAAAAAGCATTGAGTTATTGTGGGCACTAGCAGATGGGGGCAGGGACAGGCAAATTAATTCTGCACAGGGCATTTGGCACTCTTTTAATTTTGCAGACTTGTCTTTTCTACTTAACAACATTCCCACTTAGCAACATAAAAACATATTTGCATTTAATAAAGGGGAAACCAGATGAGAAAGTAAAGCAGATCTTGCTGCGACCTTAATAGATTGTGAAAAAGAAAAGAAAAAAAATGTATTTCAGTGCTTCTTGTAGCTAGAGGCCAAAGCCTCTGGCTGCTGTTGCAAGAGCACTGTTACCAGTACTGATAATGGGAGATCAGGGAGAGGATGTAACTGGAAGGAGCAGTTTATGGAAAAATGACTATCCCTCTATTAGACTCAATCACATACAGGCACAGAATGGTTGGTGTCACAATTCTACAGCTGAACGGCAAGAAACGAGTTGTTGCTGGATCACTGTGGGTACATCAACAGCAAAACAAAAAAAAGTGGCTAAATAGCGCAAAATATACTGTGAAAACAGGAAGGAAGAGCATGTAGGTGGGACCATATGGCACAAGCTTCTTCAGTAGCTATAGAACACTCCTCTTCAGAGAATGAAGAAATAAGAGCTTGATATAGAAATGTTTTCCCATGCAAAATACTTATTATAGAACATGGAGGGAATCAAACTTGAGGCTCCTGCTAGGATCTGTATCTTTGCTGGGGGTTTTTGGGCCACATGGATTGAGGAGCACTAGCAGAGACACAAAATCAATGACAAACACAAGAATTATGCTTATGTGCCTGACTACAACAAATGCAAAGGGAATTCATCCTGTGGTTGGATGAAGTTTTATTCCTAAGGTTGGGAATAAAACCTGCTTTTTGTCTTTATTGTTTTCACTAAACATAGCATCACTTTTTGGAGGAGAAATTGTGTAAAAATTGATTTCTTTACTTCCTTCTTTGTCAGAAAGATAGAAATTCCATGCCATTTCATTTGTGGAGAATTCCTGAGACATTCAGTCACAACAGAGAGGATGGAAGAAAACCTAGGACGGGTGTGTATGTTGAGTGAGGCAACACAGATGGTCCTTGTCAAGAAGTATGAGCCATGTGAAACCCTGTGAAGATACAATGTGAGGCTTGCTGGAATATTGGGGTTGCAAAGCCCGGGATGTAGCCCCAAGAAACACAAAGCAGGAATTGTTTTCTGCTGTTGTGAGTGGTTTCAGCATTTAGGGCCTGAATTTGTCAAAGAGGACCAAATTGAATTCCCATATGACTGTAAGAAAATGCATAAGAACCTCACCTTGGGCAAGAGAGAGGGTTTTGGATTCATGAAGGACAAATGGAAAGGAGGAGGGGGAGAGAAGAGAACAGTTTAGAAAAGCAAGGACCTGGACAGTGCAATAGGAAAAAAGGGAATTATAAGAAA